GGCGGCGGCTCCCGACGGCCCCCGACGGCCCCGGATGCGGCCTGGGGAGCAGGACACGCAGCTCGCCAGGCACGCAGGGCTCCCAGCTGGGTGGACAGCTGCCTCCCGGCCCAGGGATGCCATGGGCCTTGGCGTCCTCGGGTGAGAGACAGGGCCCCTGGGGCCGGGGCCGGGCACTGGGTACAATCCCAATGTCGGGGCGAGGCGGAGGCGCAGCACCGTGTCTTCTCCCTCCTTTCCACCCCCTGCACAGCCCTGTGAGCTGACAGCGGCATGTGCCACGGGAGCACAATCCCCACGGGAGCACTATCCCCACGGGAGCACAATCCCCACGGGAGCACAATCCCCACGGGAGCACTATCCCCACGGGAGCACTATCCCCACGGGAGCACAATCCCCACGGAACGACCACAACAGGACACAGCCGCGCACGGTCGGCGTCATGATCATTATCCTGAACGCTAAGCATCGCAAACGTCAATCTTTTCTTCTCATCCCAAACTTACCATAAGCTCATATATGGAAACAACTTTCAGAGAACAGAGATTTATGATTTGGGGGATTTAAAAAAGAAAAAAAACCTTCAGTGAATATGCATTTATCTGGCAAGATTTCAATAAAAACTTCAGTTCATTAACAGTTGTTTTTTTTTTTTTTAAAGATTTTATTTATTTATTCATGAGAGATTCCAGGAGAGAAGCAGAGACGCAGGCAGAGGGAGAAGCAGGCTCCCTGTGGGGAGTCCGATGCAGGACTCGATCCCAGGACCCCAGGGTCACACCTCAGGCTGAAGGCGGCGCTAAACAGCTGAGCCACCCGGGCTGCCCGCCCACGAACAGTTTTGATGAAGCAGAAAATCCATATATTTATGAAGATTAGCATCTACACGTCTGTGACTAAGGCGTTATTCAGTAAGGTCAGTGAAAATTGGCTTAAGGAAGTTCTTTCATTTCTGCGTGGACATCTCCTTACCAGTTATCCTTTCCGAATACCTTGGAAACTCTGCCGGGGATGCCGGAGGGAGATCTTCCCTGCTGGCGATCGAGCTCCTTTAAGCCAACTGCTCATCCTGAGCCAGGACCCCAACCACCTTGTACACTATCTCTACTTCTCAAACTGGTTCTTTTGTCCCCAAACCTTTCTTGCCCTCTCTCACCGCCATGTTTCCCTCCCCTATGCATTCACCTTGCCTGAAATACCTTCCCTTCCCATCTTCAGCCAAAGGAACCCCAGCCCACCGCCAAGACCCAGTTCACATCCAGTCTCCAGGGAGCCGACCCGGACCATCACCTCCCACGCTCTCCTCACCTCGCTGTCCTGCCGGTATCGCGCTCACTGGTGTGCTGCGGCTGGGGCTGTTATTTTTTTTTTACTGTGTTACTTATTTCCCTAATTTCACTCTCCCTTTTCCTCCAACTGAGTAAGCTTTCAGAGACCAGAAGCCACATGTTAGAATTGACAGAAAATTTCAAAGTCCCACTTCAGCATGAATAGCCTGCACAACAGGACTGACGTTTTGGACATTAAAACAGATGACAGGGATCCCTGGGTGGCGCAGCGGTTTGGCGCCTGCCTTTGGCCCAGGGCGCGATCCTGGAGACCCCGGATCGAGTCCCACGTCGGGCTCCCGGTGCATGGAGCCTGCTTCTCCCTCTGCCTGTGTCTCTGCCTCTCTCTCTCTCTCTGTGTGACTATCATAAATAAATAAAAAAAAAAAATTTAAAAAAAAAAAAAACAGATGACATTTCTGAAAACTCAACATGAATTCTATTGCCATGACGTTTTCCCCTGCAGAAGGGGATTCCATTGTGACAACCATTTTGAATGGCAACAGAATTATACAAATAAATTATCTCAGAATTCAAGCAGGTGCTCATCGCAGCCAGCTACACTAAATAGTAAGAGCGTTTGCACTTTAGTCAACAACCTATTCAGCAAACTTTTCACTGAGTCCCTAATTTGTACAAGGAGCCACACTGAGATCCACTGGGAGAGGAGATGAACAAAAGACCGGCCAAGTCCTCAACACTCAAAACTTTAATGGAAGAGACAGACTTGAAAACTTTTTACAAAACGAGTTAAATGAGCAATACAGTACAGCTAACCTACGGAGTAAGCCGGGTGATTAACTTCTACTGGTGGACCTTAGGAAGCATCCGTCAAAACACAACAAAACCAAGGAAAAGATGACATTGGAATGAGGCGCTGAGAGATAATTGGGACTCTGCAGACCACGATGGCAGAAGGGGGGTCGGGAAGACAAGGTCCGCGAGAGCAGGACGTGCAGACATGAAAGCACGGCCTCACCCATTCTAGCTCCTCTCAGTAGGTGGTGACCTAACCTGCTGCTTCCTGAGAAGCTGAAAGGCCGTTCCCCTTCCCCTCCCACATCTCATGACTGTGTCTTCCCCAGGGCTACACTCTCCAAGGGGTGCAGGACCCCCTGCTGCTCGTCTATGGGCTCATCCTGGTGCAGCGCTCCCTCTCCCTCTCCTTCCTTTCGCAGACAAGTTTTTGTAAGCATGGTCTGTGCGGTCGTCTCTACTTCATCTCCAATTCATTCGAACACATGAGGTTAACTACTTCTTGAATCCATTTTATTCGGTAGAATAAACAGAAACAAGGATTTACTTTCTGATTTCCTCTCTCTTTCTTTTAAAATAAGTTAACCAGGGGATCCCTGAGTGGCGCAGCAGTTTGGCGCCTGCCTTTGGCCCAGGGCGCGATCCTGGGGACCCGGGATCGAATCCCCCACGTCGGGCTCCCGGTGCATGGAGCCTGCTTCTCCCTCTGCCTGTGTCTCTGCCTCTCTCTCTCTCTCTCACTGTGTGCCTATCATAAATAAATAAAAAAAAAAATTTTTAAAATAAGTTAACCAAAAAAAAAAAAAGTTAACCAGTATTTCTTTTTAAAATGTATTTGCTATATTCAGGGAACAGAGAATGAATAGTCTGCACCGGATTTCTCACGTCCACAAACTATTCAACAGCTGAGACTCCGTAAGTACTTCTCACCCCCATGAGAACGCTGAACCTTAAGCCCTTCTCTCCATGTGCCTTCCCCTAACCCAGCTCTTCACAGTTCTTCACATGAGAAGAGGGAGCATATACAATTAATTCATCCTCTTCGACAACATAAAACAGGTCCTTTTAAGGAATTATGTCATGCGAGCTGGGTCCTTAACCTCCTCTAGAAGATCAGGGTAAGGCAAGGTCTGGTACATTCACGCTGCACCGACATCCCTACAGAAGAACCCCAGCCGAGACCCCCTGATTTACGTTCTGCTTCTCCGGCAGTTTCATTTACTAAGGGAGTAATGGCTAAGATGGTCTCTCCTCTTGTACACGATACACAGCCAGAACTCTCCGTAACTCACTTACTTTGCTCACCTTTCTTACCTTCAGAGCCAAATTTATCAGCACCCATTAACCGCCTACGCTGATTCCAAAAAACGCAAAGACTCACCCATATGTTATATACACTTCAGCCTTTTCATGGACAGTGAGTGCTACATATACTGTTCCATGAACCGTTGGACAATATATAGATCTTAGCTCATCTTTTCAGATTTCCTTTGCAGTGAATATTTCAGTTCACTGAACAATCCAGTTAACCCCCTCCTTCATCTTTTAAAAATAAATTTATCCCCCCGCCACATCCCACTTTTTAAAAATAACTCTCCTTCGAGCAGATGAAGATCTGTATCATTCACTTCTCTTCTGTCCTCCTACAGAACAGAGTTTACAGGCCTACCGACTGCATTGGACATTATAGAAACTGCATAAATATTTGTCAATAGGCAGATTTACATATAACAATATTGTTAAAATTTCCATAAAGGCCACCAAACAAATGCTCTGACTGAAGACCAAATGGAAAATTTCAAGCCCACCTCTTCAGACCCCTTGTAAGAATCAGGGTAAGATTACAGATGGAAACCCACATTCCATATGTCTAACTATCTAAAAGCCATACATCAAGTTAAACTATTAAATGAAATATGTTCTCCTCCGCTAATCCTGACAAATAGCCCTTCAACCACCTGGCAGTGCAGGAGTGACTCTAGAATTTTCAGACCCCTGAAAGCTCCACAGTATAGTACGTGCAGGCTCTCTGCTGTTTGGGGTCAGGAAAATGTCATTCAGGTCCTCAGAACAAGGGGTGGCGGTGTGAGGGCCCAGGCTGCGCACACCCCCTTGACGCTTAGGTCCTTCACCCTGTGGGGAAATGTGGCCGGAACAGCGTTCTCTCACTCAGGGCCCCAAAGAAGGGCCTCTCTTGCTGGGTCTGAAGGCAGTACTGGCTGATTTACCAAAACGGAGAATTTACCAGATCGGTCTTTTTACCTTTAGCTAATATACCAGCTAAGATTAAATATATAAAAAGATGATTAAGTAAGTGGTGAAACCTGAAATTCCAATCGCTAATCACTTTAGTTCCCTCAAGATCTATAATAAAAAAAAAAAAGAGCCTAATACTTATCTGAATCTACCCTGAGGCCTCATGTAGAGTCTGTGCTTTAACAATTCATACGATTTACCGGGCTCTACTCACATGTTCGAGGGAGTTAAGACAAGAAGGAGCAGAGAAGAGGGAAAGGAGGAAAACATCAAGTATCAGAGATCAGACATGCGGGTCAAAGAAGACATTTCCCTTGTGTTCTGTCGCTGGTCGAGGAAGCATGTGACCGAAGGATGAGCCATCTGATGACTGCGGGCTCTCACTCACTCAGACTCAAGCAGCTCGCTCACTGGCCTCACAAAGCTCCTCTCCTAGCCACTGTGTCCACGGCGAGGCAAGCTGAGTCTTGCCAACGTTTAAACGGAGACTCCCTACCCCTCACCGTAATCGGCTGCACTGCAATGTCCACTTCACTTAGCAAGAAAATTAATTTGTTAGTTTGAAAAAAAACTAATACATGACTTTCATCACAATACGCATATGCATACTCCACGGGAAGGGAAGTATTTCAACTGGAAATCTTATTGACGTGTACTTACTGAGATTGTACCATTGTCTAGACCTATGGACAGTCTTCTTGTTTCCGGGTTAAAAGACATGCATGAACATGGAGCTGAAAGAAATGAACATGTTGATGAAATTAACAAAATGATGATTCTCATTGATTCAGGAGTGACTAACTAGCTAAAAAGCGTGTGGCTATTTTTTCCCCCACTATTTCCTGGAAAACAGTTCATTTAACACCCACTCACCAAAAAATAAAAACAGTAATTTTACAACCAACCCCTAGTTTTTCAGTTACCCTTTTAATGAATATAACGAGTAAGATATTCTCAAACTGGACTAGTTCCAGGGGGCTTGGTCTCAGCTGTTCCGTCAGTATGGAATCTAAGCGCGCAATATTAACAATATTTTGTGCTGTGTAATCGCTCTGTCACCGGTCTCTCTCTTCCACTCAGACTCCATCTGTAATACAAACAACCTATCTTTTCTCAACTAGGCGGAAAAAAAAAAAAAAAAAAAAGAAAGATCTTATAATTCCCTCCTCCCCCGACGTACACATACTAGTATAAAAATCTGTTTTGTGATTCAGAATTGACTCAGGGCATGTGGACTAACAGAAATCTTTTACTCTCAGTACTGAAGGCTGTTAATTGGAAAAAAAAAAAACAAAAAAAAACCGAGGATCTGTCTCAATTTGAGGGAGAACCAACCGGACACAGGGCCAGGCTCTACTGGAAAAAAAATCAAGTCTGGATAGGGCCTCCCTGTTCCGCAGAATTGGCTACTACCTGAGTAGACCTGAGCCTAAGTAAACTAAGCCTGCCTGGAAGCCAGCGTGGCCAAGAAGTGCCTGCTCAACACACAGCTTCCAGGCCCCTGCCTCCTCCGTCTACACTGGCTCGTAAGAATGGGGCGTGTTGACAGTTTATCCCCACTGAAATCGCTGTTCAATAAACGAGTCCAACGCAAATTTTAAATGTCTCTTCCACCTTCACAGCCCAGTAGATCACAAACTGCTCATCATCATAATCAGCCTCAGGGATCTTTATTCCTGCTTTCTACTGCTATGATTAGATGTCTTACTCAAGGTCACACAGGTAGAAAAAGTTGGAGAAGGTTCAAAGACACAATTCAAACACACAATCCTATTTTGAAATACCCAACTTAGATTACCTCTAAACTACAAAAGAATTTCAAGTTCTACTGACAGAGCCACTGCGTAAACACATCACTTGGTAACATTCTTTTTGTTCCCTATAAGAGGACCCTGAACAGAAAAGATCTTCCAAACTGCATCAAGTATTTACTTTTTTCTAATTTTCAATCATGATATATTCAGAAAATGGAAACACAGAAAATAATCCTCCCCACGACTTCCACCAGTACAGCAGGATATCTTCACTCTGATGAGCCACAAAATTAAAATGGATTCCCGAAAAAAACAGTCAAATGGTATTTAATGTGCTGCTCTGAAGAAGTCAGTCTTTCTCACCGGTGGCCCATAAACTACGTTGGCACAATTTCTAGGCAGGTGTTAAGATGCCAGGTCTCATAAGCTTGTAACGTGCGTTCAGAATTAAGATCTAACAACTTTATTGGAAAGCTATCATATTTGCTGAAAAAAAGAGACAAATAATGTGATCACAACTTCATCAAGTATATCAACACCTAAAAATGTACATGGAGAAATGAAACAGGTTTTGTGTTTGTGTGACAAGAGTATTCCTATAATTCTGTCTTTGATCTTATTATTTTGCTATTACTGTTACAAGTTTTAAATAGCTAATGGTTTATCAGGATATAAGCATGAGCACATGAAGTACCACTTGATTGCCGCCCAAAGGGCTATAAACTAGTCAAGAATAACCTTATCACTTTAGCTGCCTCTGCCTGACTATATAAAAGTCTTTCTGTGTGATTTCCTCCAAGGTTCCTATCTATCTGGTTATGTAAAGAAAACCCACTGATCTCTGAACGTGACTTAAATGACTTTTTTACAACACTGCACAGGCTACGCTGACATCTACACTGCTATTTCTTTATTCCTGGATTTCTTCTCCTCTTTACTAAATTTCTTATTTTGAAGAAAAATTTAGAATGCTTACTATGTTCCAGGCATATGATATAATGATATACAAGGAACTATAGCTGCCATCATGGAGTTTACAGATCGTGGCACCAACCACGTACAGGAACTGTAATGTCACCATTAGAGTCCAAATCACTTTATGTTTACGGTAAGAAACACCACCAGAATTCAGAATCCAAAAGGAAAAGGTCTTTCCCTTAGGGTCACATAAACAAAAGAAATCTAGAAATCCTGTTGTTCTAGAACCCATATGCTTGAAGCCCAAGATGGTTCTTCTAGACAGGGGATTGCCAGAGCTAAAGAGCATCAGCTTCCAGACGCCCCTAAAGACCAAACCACCCCTCCAAGGGGGCACCATTGGTAAAACAGCAAGCCAACCTGTAACCTGTGTGTGTGCGTGTGCGTGCGTGTGCGCAGGAAAGACTTCTGGTAGGCGAGCCTTATGAGGCTCCTCAAACCATTTCCCAACTGTGACACTGTCACAGGGACAGGCCCTCGCTTGGTTCCCATAGACCCTGGCAGGGCCAAGAAGGGAGTGGACTGAAAAGAATGCTGATGCCCGTATTTGTGGTTACAGCAAACATCTTTCCTTGTGGGAAGCGGAGGAGTAGCTAGACTGACACAGAGATCCTTCTAACTTCAACTCCAGAAATTAACAAAAAAGCAACATCTGAAAGACTAGTCTTAGGGCTCAAAAACGGGCTCCTATCCGCGTGAGAAAATATCGAGGGGGCAAAACTGTCTGCGGAAGGACAGTACGATACAGTAAGGTCACGGCAATTCCGGCCAAATGGCCAAAGGGCCCCTGACAGGAAGGCTTAGAGAACAAACAAACAAAATATGGTTTAAGCACGGTATTTGTAGCTAGGTTACCCAAACGTGGTATGGGATATTTCACAGATAGGAATTCAGCTTCAAGTGATATAAAATAGTTCACAGATTGGTAAAGAACTGCCCTATCTGACGGCTGAGAGTTGAGGCGAGGGACCAAATGGCCGGGAGCCTCCCGTTCTCCCACCGGGCAGGGCCTTCTCCGGAGGCCCAGTGACCGGGCTGGCCAGACCCGACAACTCCAATACGGCCCCTCCGCCGACCTGCATCGAGCTGCAGCCCTCGACTCCAGAGGACATCAATGTAGCAGGACACTCAACAAGAACCTTTAACTGTTTTCCCCACGAGAAAGGAGAAGCACACCCGGCGAGCTTTGTGGGGCGAGCCCCATTTGCCAGGTCCTCGCGCACAGACCATCCGTGCGGTTTGCCTGGGGCTGCTCCTACACAGACCCAATACCTGGAATTCACGGCCCTGCCGCTGGTCTTGTTGCTGTTCTCTCATTAGCTTCCTATGTTTGCCCCAACATGTCTATTAAAACCCAAGAGAAAAAAATGCCCACAGTTTATTCCTAATAAAATAGTACGAAAATGCATTTCCATGCTCTCTGATTAAGACCTGTCATCTTGGGGACGCCCAGGGGGCTCAGCAGTTTAGCGCTGCCTTCAGCCCAGGACGTGACCCCGGGGTCCCGGGATCGAGTCCCGCGTCGGGCTCCCCGCAGGGAGCCTGCTTCTCCCTCTGCCCGTGTCTCTGCCTCTCTCTCTCTCTCATGAATAAATAAAATCTTTAGGGGAAAAAAAAGAAGACCTGGCATCCCTCCTTTCTGTTTCCGACTGAGGACAGCCAGAAGAAATATATTTGGCAAAATTTTAGGAAGCAAGATAATAAAAGATAAAAATAAGTCGGCAAAGAAATTTGTGCAGGTCTGTGAATAATGAAAGATAAGAGTCTCTTACGTAAGTATCAGGACTGTACATCCTGATGACCTGTCAATATCTTATTTTAAAGATTAAACACTTTCATAACATTGAGCATTTTTTTAAGTGAGATTTTTGTAGTTTCAGGCAGGTATTCAGTTTAGGGTTTAGGGAAAAGTAAAATAAAGAGAAATCCCAGTCTGGGTCACTATATTAAAAACCATATAATTTGAAGAGAGAAAAGCTCAAGAGATCTAAGCCCCAGACAAAGGGAACTCAAGGGGCCAACATCAACCTCAACAGTTAGTCATTAAGCGGATTACAGAGAAACTGACTACTTGTATTTCAAATACTTCTGTCCCTCAAATGGTCTCAAAAAGATGTTGCTCTTGCTTTTTTTTTAAAAAAAATAAAGTTAAGAAAAGGCATTTTCAAAATACTCTTATTGGGGGGGAAAGTTACCTAATTTCCGCTATTTGTATCTTTTTCATTTTACGACTGAGTTCTTTTGTCCTTTGCTTATTGGTTGGGACTTTTGTCCCAAAAAACAGCAGCTTCATGGGTGAAGCAGTGGATTTCAATCACCTGATATAAGGCCTGGAAAGGCATGACGTGGCGGGACACACTCATCTTTCTGGGATGCTCTGGGGGTCACTTTAAAACTAAACAAACGATGGCACTTCCCTGAATACACCTGGAGGGGTTAAAGGCACCCCATCAAGTGGGATGTCAGGATCCTACAGAAGGATTCAAGGAGCAGCCCAGCGCCCGCGTAGACGGAGCTCGTGGACACGCTTTCACTCAGTGCCGTTTGCCACAAGACCGTGCTTAGTGGCTTTACAATAGTCAACCCATGTTTTGCTGTATGAGAAACACTTCTATTCAGGACTCCAATTGCCTGGCATTAAAAATCATTTTCCATTCCACTCAAGTGTTTTATGCACTCTACTAAAACTGACCACTTTTTTCCCTTGACTTTAGTCTGAGCAACATCAGCAAAATTAATGGATTAGCGGTGGTCACTTTTCCTCCCAACATGTTTTAAGACTCAACTATCAGTTTAAGATCTAAGGACAACAGAATCCTGAAATATCCTGTCACAGGAAAACCAAGCAAGAGTGTGCTAAATAAACGCTGTGATTACTCAGATTGATGAACATGTTATTTCTACCTTGGATGATCCATGTTTCCATTTCCGTTAAAAAACAAAAAGTCCCTTGGGCATATTTTCTTTCAGTAAATACAGAATTAGAAGATCATATTACATAA